TTAACGAGAAAACTGCAACTTGCATGGCTTTGAATACTTGGAATTTCACGGTTTTAAAGATTTTATAGAGGAGTTCCCGCGCCAATAGAATACTGAAAGCGTTTCTGATTAAATTGTCGTGTGCTTACTTATTAACAAATTAAAGCGTAATAAGTCACTTAGATTTACAATTCAATGAGATTTACTGAATCGTTATTGAATCTGTTATTTTCGTTCATTTATCACCATGAACTGGTAGTTGGATCTGACCAATGGTCATTCATTATAGTTCATTATAGCTGTATTTATAAATTCCGGTCTTCTCCAAAGACATAATTTAGAACTACCACTACCTATACAGGTAGTTAATAATTTGTTGATTTTATACAGGGTGATCAACAAGGACTGTTTGAGTTTGCAACAGAATTTAGAACATTTTCTTCTTCAAATCAACATTTTAAAAATAAGCATTTCCCGAAACAATTGCAATAATACAATAATACTCTACTGTACTGTACTCATGTTTTTAATGGAAATGGTAATTGGTCCATTTAGACAACACAGTATAAATAAATGTTGAAATAAATTACACGTTGCAAGTTACTCATTATCCACATCGATTTTGTAATTTCCCATATTATGCATGGTGTAAACAGTAAACAGGTTGTTCACGTTAAAGATTATTCAGTAGATTAGTTGCAAAAAGGTGCACAGTATCAAATATAAACTGAAACACACAATACCTTTAGTGTATCTTTACTAAAAATGATTGAAAGCTATTAATTTATGTAATTTTGTCAATTCGTAAGTGTCTTATGGAAATAACACAAAAATCGACAAGATTCTCGCAGTGCGGTGTCAAATCATCGAAATTCAATTTATATACTGAGTTTATGTCATCCATTTTTTATGTAAATTCACTTTTTATGTAAAACAAGATCACGGAATCCTGACATGTTTGTACAGGATGAACCGTTTGACGTGATATTAGAATAACCTGACCAAAAGACCATAAATCACCCTTGTTCATATTTCATATCAAAACCTTCCATTTCTGGAATATAAAATTTTCGTCGGCTACCCACTTCAAAAAATCTCCATCTAAAAGATAAAGAATTTCCTGACTTGACGTATATTTGCTTAAAATAAGTTTTTGATGTTTATCCTAAGAGCATCTTTTAGTATTCCTTGATTCTATAATCACTAAATACGAGCAGGTAATAGAAAAAAAAACGTTGTGGAACACACAAGTGCACTTCTTCGTTATAAATTTTTGAGGTGTTCGTGTTTGTGAATAACTAAAGTGGTGGTGGTATCGATTAACTGTAATTCACTTATCTTAAGCTACGACATTCTTATTGCGTCTTATTAGGCGTCTTTGAAAACAAGGGAGAAGGGCGCTTCAAAATATTTACGGTAATGACAAAAGAAATTGTGTTGTACTTGGAAGAAGACGTACAAATAAGCACTAAACCATTGAAAGTAAGCTGTTTTATCTTGTTAACAAATTCCACCGTCGTTTGCAGACATGTCTTTAGTAATTAGAAGATTAACGTTACCACTTGAACGTTATTGTCGTTCTGAATGCTAATATACGGAATTGAAAAATGGCATTTTAAAACTGTTCCTTGCATTTTCTTTTATACAGGGTGCGCCAGAACTCGCGCCCCAGAGAAAAATTTCAAGTAAGATAAGATGCCAGGAACATGAAAAATATGTTTAAAAAATTCTAACTGTCAAAATTTTTTTGACATTTGACATTTTTCATGTCTAATGACACTGATGATATTGTATATGTTTTTTTATAATTATTTAGTAAAGGTACAAAAATTTTGCCAATAAAAGCCACAAATAACATTAAACAAAGTTACAATTTAGTATACAGCTTCCTTGTATCCTCTTCTAATAGCCTGTAGCAAAAAAACTTGGAAAAGTATTTTTCCAACAGAAGTAAATAGAGTCAAAGTGCAAAATTTAAACTCTCATAACTTTGAAATTTTTATAGATAGAATTTATTTTACATTTTTTCCATGTTCTTAGTATCTTACCTTACGTGGTATTTTTCTCTGGGGCGCGAGTTCTGGCGTACCTTGTATCAACAGATTGTACTTTTTCATTATAATCATCAAAGATAAACTTTCAAATTACATACCTAATTAGAGAAATTTCTTAGAATTTGCTTAAGATAATATTTAGTATTTTGTGACCAAAAATATTCTAGTCAAATATTTTTCAGTGTTAAAACAGTGGCGTCGTGAATGTAAATAATCGTCGTCGATTGACAGTAATAAAAAGTTTACGCAATGTCGAAAAAAATGGCCGTTGGGGGAGCGACAAGTCCGCCCTCCAATGGAATCTGAATACTTTGGTTTGAAACCTTGATAAATTTTTGTACACAAAAATTTACTTTGTGTTTTTTGAGTTGTATAATAACTTTTTTTGTTGATTGTAATTTTTTCTAAGAACTAGATCAAAACATCAAAAATTATAACATTTCATGAAATATAATTTTATTTATTAAAAAAAAAGTAAATATTTACATTTGGGTTAAATAGTTATTATTATTTCTTCTATACTTCGAATTAAGAACACAAGGATTAATTTTATTCTCTATTAATGAGTTCTCTATTAATTTTTTGCTTTGAAAAAACCTCTTGGGAAATCTGTTCAAAGTTGTTTTGGTTGAAGCTTTTAAAAACTGACTTCTTCTTGCAATTCATAATCTTTTGGAGAAGTGTACCTCCAAGCATTACAATAACGTACTGTAACTTCAGACCATCTTGGGTTTTTGAGAGAGTAATTATAAATTTGCTCAAGTAAAAACACAGCCCTTGGTTCTAAGTCCTTTGCATCTGACTCAATTTACACTACACAATGTTTACCTTTATTGTAATTGTCATTTTTTTCTTTTATTTTCTTTTTTTCAAGTTTATTTTCGTACAGCTTATTCAACTTTTGAAATCTTATATTTGCTTCCTGTAACTTTTTTTCTAAATTTTGAATTTTATCTAGTAAGACAAATTGCGTCTGGAACATTTTTTACATCAAAATCACTTTTAAATCGCTTTGTTGATCAAAATCAAATCGAAATCGACTTGAAATTAAATAATTTTTGTCAAATGAGAATAGAGATTGGGAGACACGGCGCAGGCGTCTCTAACGGCTTATTACGTTCTGAAATAATGGAAGTGGTAGAGATTATCTGAAAACGAGTAATTCTTTTGTAATTCAACAGCAAGGATGGAACTGCATTTGGTAAAAAAATTTTGTTTATACCGGGTGTCCCATGAGTAATAATGAGCCTGAATTTTTTTTTTGAAGCAATCAATCAACATTACATTTCATAGATAACGTGGATATTAAAATATTTCGTTTTAATTAGTTAAACATAGTAATCGTATTTTTATTTCTGACAAATTTCTATCAGTCAAAATGACTTTACTCCTGTTTTAGGAAGTCCGTCTATTTGGATATCGCGCTGGATAGAAACGTGCAGTCTGCGAAGCGTTTTTCAAATATTCTTCATAAATGAGAATCTTGTTGGTCTTTTCGACAACATTCTAGTAATTCTCACCAAATTCTCCAAGGTTTGACATTTTATAAATTAAAGATGAAGTGCTGTTTGGTCACTAAAAAAAACTAAATATTTTAATATCCACGTTATCTTTGAAATGTAATTTTGGTTTTTTAAAAAAAATTGTCAGGCTCATTATTACTCGTGGGACACCCTGTATAATAGCTCGTTATTTCAAAAAGTTTTCCAGAAATCACGGAATTTGGGGGTATATTGCCGATGTACCAAATATTCTCTTAATCCATTTGTTTTTTTGATTTCTACTTTTTGGAAACCAATGTAAAGTAACATCTTCTTTCTTCTCTTTCCATAGTTTAGAACACAGCAACTTCAGATATCTGGCATTTTAAGAATTATAATGTAATGTCTGAAACAATGATAAACGAATTCGATTTCCGAAGAAATTTTGAACTAGATTAACCATATTAACACTACAAGTGTTTTTAATCGGGTACCAGCTGATCTGGTTCAAAATCGAGAGAACTTTAAATATTTGTTATCAGTAGATTTATTAGAGCTATAACTTTGGTTAATAATTTTTAGTTCTTTTGTCGTGAAACATTTCAAATCAATACTTTTATTTCTTACACGTAAATTATGCGTCGTCCCTGAGCGCATCTTTCAACATTGATAATTGTCACTTGATTCCATATTTTTAAAGTAACATGTTTTTTGCTTTTCATTGGTTACATGAAAAAGTTGTAACTTGCAAATTTATACGTTTAAAAAAGGAAATACTTTTTATCGTTAACAGTCTTGCTAGAAGGAAGAATTCCTTAAGAGATTTTAGTCTATTTAGATAACACCCTATATACAAACCTCGAAAATTTTTTGTTGCAATTCTGTCATTTATCTTTTGGTTTTAAATTTTTCTGAATAGAATCCAATTGTAACATAGATTCTTTTTTTACACAGGAACCAAATATTTGTGTCCTATTTCACCTTCAAAAACGTACTGAATTGAGTTAGAAAATTAACAAAGTTTAAAGCGAAATATTAATTTGAAGAAGCTGCATACTTAAATTAAAATCTACATTAAATAATGTTTACGATTCATATTTTGTTAAAAACAATTTACAAATTTTTAAATGTGTCATATCCAAACTTTCTTGTTTCTAATTCTTTATTTATTAAAAATGGCATGTAAATAATATAGCCAGTAAAAGGAGACGTCAAAATTGCACAACAATAGTTGGAAAAAGCACCAAGCAATCCAATTTAAATGGGATAAAAGAATGTAACAGCTTCTATATCTAGTTGAGTGTAATAAAAGTGACCGCAAAGCGAATAACGTATGCATGAAAGTGTGTTGCAGTTCAGTTGCAAAAACCAGCTGTAAATATGTGCATCTCGAAGATAATAACAAGAATTCTCTGAAACTGCAACTGCAGTGGCTCGAAATGCATCAGCAATAAAACCGATTTGAGTTGTGCATTACGTGACTTACCTACAACAATATAGCCATCACTTGTCACGTTCAAGGAATTGCCGTATTGATTCGCTTCAGCGGGTAACACCTCCACCGTGGTATTATAGAACTTATCAGAAGGATGCTCCGCGTTACCGCTCCTGAAGAAGAATCTGAAACGACGACGAGGATTTGCTACAGCGTTAATTCCCCATTTTGCAAAACACCCTCTTACCTTTTTATCCAGATTGGGCTGGTGAATTTAAATATGAGTTGGTCCCCCGGGGACGGAAGGAGTCCCCAGAAGAACGTTTCGCCTAAATACGCCCGCTCCAACGTGTACTGTTTGTAATGCTTTATTCCTGAGATGACTTCCGCATCAGGGTTGCTGTGAGGAAAGAAAAGAGCCACTTTACCGAACTGTTTGTCCTAAAAAAAAGGCTGCTTTAGAAAGATAAAAGCCGAAATTTCAGCTTTAATTTAATTCATTGTAACGAAGCGGCGGCTTTTGTTCGCACGCAAACATCTTAAAAATGACGCTTTTTGGGCTCAAATTACTTCATGAATGTAAGCGACGATCAACAGAGCGTGTGGTATACCTACCTTAAGCTTCTGAACTTTTCCCTTGAGGGAGGAATGTGTTCCAATATGTTGGAAGAGGGAGGGTTTGTAGTGCACCCACATTTTGGCCTTATCCCGCTTACAGTTCTGCAACCAAGCATGAAGAAATTCTGATGAAAATGCAAGTTGAGATATTACGAGCAATTTTCTTTATTTACTTTCAGTGTTGTCTCATAATTGCTCTTGCAACACATGCGGTTTTTCATTTCGTTCCACAGCGGTGTCGCATTTTGTCTATTCATTCAAATATAATAAGAATTCTTCAGTTCCGTTTTGTATGATTTATTTTTACAATGAAATAAAGAGCAGGTTTTGTTCAAGACATTATTTAAATTCTTATTTTCGATTTCAAAAAAGGGCATCATGCGCTCTAATACCCATCATGCACTTTATTTTCCATCAATTTTAGTTTTTAAGTAAAGAAAATAAACAGCGTAAACAAAGGCAATTGTGGACCGAAATAACTCGCTCGGGTTTACATAAGAAATCAATAAAAATGATCTTTTGTGAACTTTACGTTATGAATTCTTATAAATCAAATATTAAAAGCTTTATGCAAGACTTGAGTCATGCAAATCGTACATGGAAATTGTGAAAAGCTAAATATTTTTCATTTCAAAGAGAAAAATAAAATTTCGTTAGTTTATTCTCAATAATGAAAAATAGAAAACTATAGCAAATGTGCAAAATGCTCTCCTTGTAAGAGAGCGTTTTGTTAGGGTAATCCGGAATTATCAACAACCAATTTCTTATTAAAACATTAGTTGGTGTTTACTACTAAATAAAAAAGATTATTTTATAGCCATTAAGACAACAAGAGTTTTAAACTATCCAGGTGTCCCAGCGAGTTGAAAAAGTCCATTAGTGACCTTTTAATGGTAAAATTAAAAAAAAAATTTGGTATACGACATTAATAGATACACCTAAAATTAGTTTCGACCATACAGCTTGTCCCAAAAATAAGTTACGATACAAACTTGTGTTCTTTTAAATGAAACACCGTATGTTTCTTTGCATTTTTGGATGTAGCCTTTTAAAACAATGTTTTTACGCTAAACTTTTATTAGTCGATTTCCCTTAGTTTTAGAAAGAAATAAGACGGTTTATTTGACGAAAACATCCACTTTTTAAAAATTTATTACACAAAAACTAAGACAGCTGTAACAATTTTTTCTTACTTCTGCAAAGAAGAAAGTACAGAATATAAAGCTGTTGCAATTTTTTAGTGTTTTGCATTTGTAAAGATTAATAAAATAACAAGTTTGTTAAAAGTTAAATAACTTAAAAAATTTAAATGAAACACCCTAATTTTTATTTTTGTATCTAATAGATTGATAAATTGTCTATCTGAAAAAATAAACTTTTAATGTCTAGAATTGATAAAATAAATAGATATTTAACATTCAATACCTATCAATATCTGAGCATTGTTGATACTATGGCAATCATAGTAATTCCACCACGGATCACTTATCCATTGATTATTTATCAAAAGATTGTAAAAGTCAATATAAATACTAAAATTCGAATTATTTTATTGTAAAAATAAAGAATAATGGATTCAGTTTAACACAAATGTGATTATTAACTGATATTTCTTCCATCTTTTGTGCAACTGTGAACTTTTTGGCTACTGAAACAATAGTAACTATTTTTTTTTAATGGTTAACGTTAAATATCTTCTTAGTTATTGATTAAAAACACCTGAAAATAAATAATTTTAGAAAGACAATTTAATAATCTTTTAAATACAAAAAGAATAAATAGGGTGTTCCATTTTTTTTTTAAGTTATTGAACTTTTAACAAACGCCTTATTTTTTTTATCTTTGCAAATGCAACACACTAAAAAAATGTTACAATCTTATAGCTTGTATGTACCTTCTTCTTTGCGGTAGTAAAAAAAAATTTCTAGCTGTCTTAGTTTTTGTGTAATAATAATTTTTAAAAATGCATGTTTTTGTTACAAAAATCGTCTTATATAGTTTTAAAACTAAGCAAAATCGACCTATAAAAGTAGCTTAAAAACATTGTCATAAAAATCTACATCCAAAAACGCTAAGAATCATATGCTGTTTCAATTAAAAAAACACAAGTTTGTATTGTAACTTATTTTTGAGACACCCTGTATAGTTAAAAATAATTTTATTTTAATTTTACCAGTTAAAGATCACTAATAGACTTTTTCAACTCTCTGGGACACACTTGTGGGGGCAGAGTGAATTGCGCTCAGTTTTAGAAACAAGTATAATAAGGCTAATAAGGGTCGCTAATCCTTAAGGAGAACTGCGCTCAGTAGCATCACAACGGGGGCCACCCATGGGCTGGTGCTTCGAACTTTTAGGGAGCACTTCATAGGGTGCACTTTTTAATGACCTAATGCCGCCGGCACATTATTTTCTGGAATGCGAGTTCTGAAATACCCTGTATTAAAAGGTATGTTTTAATTTAAAAAAATATATTGGAAGAGAAGCAAATAGATCGATCGACTTTTGTGAAATGTGTATCTTATTAAGTTTGACTAATTTTTTTTAAAACCCTGTTATGTAATGTACACCTATACATATTTGTGTTCAGTAAATGTAAATAATAACCTATTTCGTTTTTGTTTATTTCAATTAGCAAAGTACATTTTTGCAACTGGTTCATCCCTATTTTCATTAGCCTGGGAACTTAATTTTTAATAATTTAATTTTTTACATCACGCTGAGACATATCGACCGATCTGAGCGCAGTTTACATAGGGATTAACGCAACGCAGGTAAGTAAAAATTTTCTGAGCGCAGTCCACTGTAGGGATTAAAATGCCGTATTTGAAGTGAGCGCAGATCACCGACACTCAACTTGTGTTGTCTTCAAAATTTTATCCAACACTAATATTGAAATAGAAATTTTACTAAATACAGCATAGAAACAGTATAACATATTAGTGTTAGAAAAAAACAATTTAATTATTCGTCTTTTCTGGAGGAAATAATTATTGAAAAAAAATCTAAGGGATATACAAGCTCTTATAACCCTGTTATGAATTTTAAGTGAAAATTTGGAACAAAAATAGGATTTGTGTTGTTGTTTATTATTTACTTGTACTTCTGTGAAACTTTACTTGTACACATAGGCAGGTAAAGGATTTTGTAAGAATTTCTTAGAAATCGTTAACATTTCTGACGCAGCACAAGGCTACTTAGAGCTTCAAAAGTAAAATAAATTCTACATTAGCAAAATTAGATGTTTTTTAATTTGTAGGAATGATTTTAACAAGTAATCCATTAAAGCCAATTTATTCAAATAAATTAGGTACACGAAATGGCTACCCAAAAGCAAATATTTAAACCAAAAAGAGATAATGCCGAGCGACACAGACCCAGTTGACCATGGTCGACAAAAGACCAAACAGCGACATAAAACCATACTGAAAACTGAAATAGAAATTCTCAGATCAGTCGCCCTATACCAAACAGTGATGGATAAAATTGATGATACTTTAGCACAGCTGCATTTAAGTCCAAATAAAATGGTAAGTGGTATTTACGTTATCATAGGTACGTAGTATTATGTCCGCTTTCATTTTTGTCTGAAGGGTTTTAATTTTAAAGAGTTCATTTTCGTGAAAATACAGACCATGTTATCTTTCAACTTTTTGCGTTTTTATATTCACCTTCACCTAAATTAAATTAGTTAACTCTTGATTATTCGTATTGTTATTAATTTTTGTAGGGTCCAACACCTATCTGTCTCCCTTGTCCAAACTCACTTCCGAAGAATGACCTTCGAGAATATCTCGAGATATTTAAGAAACATATTTTATACGGAGAAAAAATTGAGATCGTAGCGGTCAATTCAGCTTTCACTACAGGAGAAGGTAAGTAATAAAGTGCTATATAAAAAATACTGATTTGCTAAAATATTCTAAATGCTAGTAGGAATGCTAAATATTAAAATAAGATTTGCTATGTGCTATGTGTAAAAAAATGAAACAAATCTTTATCTTTTAAGGCATTAAGCACCCAAAATCACTCACTGAAGAATCCGATTTCTACTTGTCCTGGGCAAGAATTTAATTTATTTACCTATTGGTATTTATTATTATTAAGTATAGTGACACTTCATTACTAAACAAGTACAATTTTTTGTATTGTTATTGCAACAAAAACACATCAAAACATTATAACGTTTAGTATTTTTACTTTGCATTTAGTTTAATAACTAAGCGTTTACTTTTTTTCCCGTAGACATATCATGTTGCTCGTGGATTGTGAAGTTTAAACATTCTTTAGAAAGAGAAGAAAGAAATGGAGTTGGTCTATGGGATTATTTTTTTAATAGGATCGAGAATAACCGACCATTGAATATCCAAAAGTTTGATTTAGCGTTTTATGACGCAAATCATGGTCGTATACACTTCAACATGCAATGCGATTGTTCACGACCGTGGAAAGATTAAGTAATTTTTACATAAGTTGATTTTTAGCTAAATATTTTTTACGTCCAATTACTTTTGTTAAAGTGTCTCAGGATGTTAGTTTCTCCTCAAAATTTATTGTTTTGTGAATAAAAAAATAACAAAACTGACCACTTTTTCATTTATTTTTTAGATATGTTGGGGACAAATAATCAATATTTACTGTAATAAAACATACCCCAGACAACAGTTTGAAAAAAACTTTGTAGACGAGCAAAAAAACTATTGGTTTCAACAAGAAGAAAAACTTAAATTTCAATATCATTTTATGCAATATAATGTCATTCATAGAAATTCGCAGTGTGTTTAGAAACAAATTTATTAAACAGGCGTAGGATTTTGATTTGTTCCCAATTAAGAAAAAAAATCCTAAATAAATATTATGGTGATTTTTGAAAGGCTGTATCTCAGTGAAAATGGTCGTGTTTAGATTAAAAAAAAACATTATAAAGCTTCAGGTTTCTAGTTTGAGATTTTTAGACGAAAATTTTTTTTGAGCTACGGTTATCACATTCCTAAGAAATAACGCGAGAAAAAAATATTTCTGGAGAAATATTTTTTAGTTAAATCAATGCATGGATCGGATAGCTTGTTTACTCAGCTTTAATTTGCTTTTTTATATTCTCTTTACTTCAATTTTTCGCTGAGATATCAGACTGAAAAAAGATCCTTGTATCTTTGATCATCGAAATCTCAGCAACCAATGGCCGTACAGAGAATAGTAAATGAGTAGTTTCAAAAACTGGAATACATTTCCTACAAGATACTTTTACGATTTTTTGAAAAAAAAATCACTCTAAACATTGATTTAAAGAAAAATAACTGTTTTCGGTGTTTTATTAAATCTACCGCATATTCACAAATATTGATGGGAAATCCAATGTTTCCAGTGTTTTTTACAGCTTTGTACACCCAATAGCCCTGTAAATTTTTAAATCGTTTTCTTGGACCGATTGAGCAAAGTTTTACAAACGAATTAAAAAACAAGTGTACATATTGTTTTTAAACATTGTGTAATCTTCATCAAAATGAAAAAAACAATTTTTTTCAATTTTCTTCACAATTAAATAAAAAAAAAATGTATTAAAATAAACTACACAAAACTATACATGTTACGAAATAAGTCACTAATAACCAGTAGAATTTCTTATTTTTAAATGAGTCACCTCAACGACATCCATACTTTATTGTTTTACGTGAAAAGCCCTTAAAGTTGCTTTAGTGTCGCATCCATTTTTTATGAATGAATAATAAAAGCCAGAAGGAAAAAAATTGACCTCAGAAAGTGCAATAAAGTGGACAGTTAATTCAAGAGAAATTTAAATTTATGGGAAGGTAAATTAGAAAAAGCTAAACTACTAAAAGAAAGAATTCAAAAACTCCAGAGATCTGATTTGTCTTGGGTGCTTTTAGTTGCTGTTTGACTAATGTCACATTATCGTTTTATCTTCCGACAGTGAATTCAAGCACGATAGGCCGTTTTTTGTACGACAGAACAGTTTTTTATTTTGTAATTTACATAATTTCGAACGAAAACTGCATACCTAATTCATGTTATGGCCAAATGGAAAATTTGTCAGAAATTACTTAATTATAATTACATACATGATATAGCAGATGAAATACATAATTCATCATTTTCAATGATTAATATTAAACTAACTATTATTAGAGTTAGTTACGACTCGCCGATTAAATAAAATTAAATTCATAACAGCAACGTTTTAAATGTAGCATTTATCAACGTCAAAAATAGTGCAGTGCTACATTTAATTAGCGTAGTTGTTGCAGATTTTCTCTAATAATAAATCATACCGACACGAAGTCTGTTTAACAGAAAATTCAATCCAATATCACTAATTAACCTATCTGACAGTATGTCCAAAAAAGCGTGTTTAAAAATTTAAACTCCACTCAAGCTTGTCATTTGTGCACATTCATTATCGAGTGTAAACTACAAGTACATGTCACTGTATCAGTTAATTAAATTTCGTGGCAAACAATAAACCCCCAACTTGTGTTGGCAGTAGATATTTTTCAAAATTCGTTACGAGATTTCACAGTTTTGCTTTTGTGCGTGATATCTGCTCTGCGGACATTGGGGTAAATTAATGGAGTCACCGGAAGCGCTGTTTTCTTATTGTAAGCGTCACGGTGATGCATTAGTTTACTTTTTTTGGCCGATTTATTTTCTATTTTAATGTTTTACAAGATCAAACAGAAAATAAATGGTGTTAAAGAAAATGACAAAGTTTTGAAAGTAAGTTTGCACTTTGTCTCAAGTGCATTACTGAATTCATTGCATACATTATTAAGTCACTCTTATAAAAATGCAAAATATTTGTGTAATTGGCAAATTTTACCATAGGTTCAAAAATAAGTGAGAAAAGTTACGTACTGTTTTTTATAAACAATTTGCTATGCTTTGAAGACGGACTCAAAAGGCGACAGTTTTCCTTTTTGTTTTAAATTTTTAATGAAAATGTGTAAACGGCTTGAAAACAAAATAAAATATTGGTATAAAATTTGAAAAAAACGTAAAAATCTTGTTTTCCTCAGTTCTTTTTTTGTATTGTTTTTGAGTGTATGTGTCTACCACCAATTTATTTTCTAGTTACTTGATATTTACGGATAAAAAATGCAAATTTTTCTATCTATTTTAAATTGAAAAAAAAAGATAGAAATTTTAATTCGATTTACACTGGCTCTTAATTGGTGAGAAGATTTGAGAAATTATGAGGAAGATCGCCCAAAAAATATCGTAATTAAAAAAAATCTCAGTAAATCAAACATAAAATAAATGGTGTTAAAGAAAATGACAAAGTTTTGAAAGTAAGTTTGCATAATTATGTTAATTTAATGTTTTCCAACACTTACACTGTTCTTGTCCCAGTTGCACACCTTGGTGAAAATGAGATGATCCAAAAGCCAGTCGACTGGTTTATCGTTGTAGAACATCTGAAAAAACTGGATAAGCCACGGAAGTTCCGCACTTTTGAACATCTTCCCTGCAACGAAACAACCGTTATTAGTCATTAATTAGTTTTCCATAAAAATATTACATAAATAATACATATCAATCAAAAGTAAATAAATAATTAAAAAAATCACAAACATTGATAGAAAGATTTCTAAAATGTTTGCTTTAACTTAAATTCCGCTAGTAACGTTAAAAAAGTAGTTTTTCGCAATCTACAGTAAAAAAGAGATTTGTTTTATCGTATAGTAAACCTAATTGGTATTTACAAAATTTTGTATTTACATTATGTATTTTTAGTATACACAGTGGAACAAAAATATTTGCAAAGACGATAAACGTTCTCTACAACCAAAGTAGAAAATTTTAGAAAAGAAGATGAAGGTTATTCCTATCCCCAGACCCCAAAACAATGTAGATTTTTACTTATTTTGGTACTCAAAGTTACAAGAGCTCTTTTACACAAAGATTTAAGTATTAAATGTAAATTTATGTGACTATAAAAATAAAAAAATAAAAATAATAATCCCGATAAACATTGTTTTCCCATTTTTCTCTGAGCATATTATTAATTCATTTCTCTTTTTTATAAATTTCAAAACCACGTCATTTCATGTTTCAATTAAATTCAATTAAATGGTTTAGACTACCTAGTTTAGTATCGTTTATTTGAGTCACCTCAACGACATCCATATTTTATTGTTTTAGGTGAAAAGGCCTTAAAGTTGCTTTAGTGTCGCATCCATTTTTTATGAATGAATAATAAAAGCCAGAAGGAAAAAAATTGACCTCAGAAAGTGCAATAAAGTGGACAGTAAAGTTTCCTCTCCTTCATTTCATATTCTTTACAAAACTCACCAATAAAACCAAGCTGGCAAAAATCCAAGACGAACCACGGTTCCTTTCTGGCGATTTTTTCGATGGCAAATTTTTTCATTTCGGTAACGTAATTGGGTTTGGCGAGGATATCGTCTTCTAGTTGCAGATAAAACGTTCCTGAAAGATCATAAGTATTTTTTTAGATGTCACCTCACGTCTCAGACTGACCTTTAGGCTGCGAGTAAGACATGAGGAAGGCGAAATCCAAGTTTTGCTTAGATCTCCACCTAACTCGTTCCGGGGGATCCCCCAACGTGATCCGCAACTTATCTAAATTCGGGTAGTAGGCCGGAGACGGCGAGAGCACTTCGATTAGACCGGAATCCACCTGCATTGGAAACCTGCAAAGATGAATTCTGAATTAGAACAAACTCGCAACCAATATCGAGCTCCAATATACGTAATGGGATTTAGAATGACGAGGCATCGTTTCCATCAAAGTTTAATTGAAAAATCTAAACTGAAAGCTATTCTACTTCACTTAAATTTCACAAGAAAAGCTTAGATTAAAAAGGAAATATGTGTATGAGTACATATTGGATGATATTGGATTACACATAGTGTTTTGGGTGAAATTAATTCAATTATTTAGAGAAATTGAAAACGCGATCTTAACTATGCGAATGTCGAGACCACCGAGATGAAGCTTTAGAACCCATTACACATTTTTTTCAGGCGTAAACATAATTATGTGATTCAAATTAAGTTTAAAACCATTTATATTACCCTCATTACCTTTATTACGTTCTTTATAGCTAAGATAAAAAAGATCTTAATTGGAAAAGATTTTTGCTTTTGTTAAAACCTAATATATCAAGTTTTCATAAATTTTAACAAGCCATTTTTATATTACATTAGTTGATGAATTTTTAACAAGAATCTTTTTAATTGGGTCTGAAAAAGCATTTTCATGTCTTTCACGCGTAGCATACGTTACGAAGCAGCAAAAATATTACATCCTCTTTGTAACTGTCTACAGATACACTTCCTGTTTTTCCTAACAGATTTTCGTGTTGGGTACGATGTTGAATTACTTCCAGTTGTGAAGTGTGTTTTAAATTCTTATTTGTAAAGAGTGTTAAAATGAAAAATGGTTAACAGCTACACTCTTTTTCTCTTTTAAATAGAGGAAAATGATATAAACAAGGTTTTCAAAAACGCGTAAATCGTATATAAACTTAAATCTTAAGTAAAGTTATCTCTTTAAAAAATAACAAAACTAGCAAAAACAGCCAAAAAAATGAATCCCTTTTAAAACTTTTATACAAACGCGTAATAAAACGAAAAGGCATCGATATAGATTATTTTTCTAAAGAAATTAAATTATTATCGACTTGTTTTTTCTCCGGCTAAAATTCTGTTTCTATACAGTCTGTATATTACAGTTGCCAAAAAAGTCATATGAAGGCAACCATTCCAAATTGTTTGTCAATTTGGTAACACATTTGAATTAATTAATCATTAAGGTAATCATTATCCTTGACTATCTTTTATTAATTTATTATCACCGCTTTAGAAAACTTGTAAATATTTGAGTAAGATAAATTAACTTTGAAACTACTGATCCAAAAAACGTTTGAGATTTATGTTTATGTAAATTAAATTGGATACGTGCCTGCCATTAACGTCAACATAAGAAAATGTTTTTCAGAAATTATTTTAATAAGCCATTCATATTGTGTATTGAAGACAATAAACATTCAAGAAGCGTCTTTAGACTTTGTCTGCTGCTACTGATTATGTCTTGACGTGACGGTAAATAAATGAAAGATCCACGACTGACGAATATCAAATAAATTAATGATTGTTTTAAAACAAGTTACAAGTAGACCAAAAAATCAATACAACATACATTTTTTAATTAGAAATATTTTAATTAACAATTTTCAATAAATGTTTTGATGAAATAAAATCAACATAAAAGGAATTTCAATAAAGCTCCGTTCCTATTTATTTGACCACTCTTATTTCTTTATTAAAAGAAGCCGAACTCTAATAAAACTCCATTTTTCCTTATAAACATGTGGTTGTCTAATAAGAAATTCTTACCTCATTTCAATTTCTTTAGCGACTTGAAGAACGTATTCTAAATCAGTCTGCAACAAAAAAAATACATTAAAAAATGAATTTCATCAAGAAAGGCTTTTCTTATATGAGCACAAATTTGTACAAAACCCTCAACAAAACCAGAAATGTCGTTTACCTTTATTGACAGTTTACCCCAGATGAACATCTAAAAAGTTGCTGATGAGTTTTTTCAAAGCTGAAGGATCAAGTTTTACGTTCTTGGGTAAAGAAAACCGGAGAAAAACAGTGAATTTCATAGAAATATAATTAAATTAAACAGTATCACTTCATTTTGCAATTCTAATTGCAAGAAAATTAGACGTAGAGGATAACAAAGTTGTTATAATTGGTTTAATTAGTATTCAGGTCGTCTTCTTATAGGTGTGCATTTATCAGTTATTTATGTAATCACATTTTCTGAGTAAAATAATAATTTCTGACGCGTAAAAAAGAATAATTCCTTCAAGAATCTGCAAAAAACAACTCAAGTGTAGTAATTTCTCTTTCGTATTATTTCAGAATAATGCGACTAAACTGCGTTAAATTATGTCTAGAACCGTTTCATTTCACTGCCATTGTTATTACAGTGAACTTAAGAATAAAGCTTGTATTTTAGTGATTAAGCAACGTCATTTCCACTGGTTAATTTTTCGTAACAAAGCGTAAAAAAGCCCAACTTAAGAATCAGTGATGGAAGAAAAATAATCCGGTCAAAAAAAACCAACTTAATAAAACTTTATTATCACTAATGGCGCAGTATGAAATTTTGTCGACTTAATTTAAAAACTTAAATTGGCAAATTTGCAGATCACGAACAAAAATTAATAAAATCGGAAAGAATTTTAATTTGGAAGCTAGAAGTTTCATTAAATTAGAAGCACAGAGACTAGAGGAAATTGATGAATCCAATTTCATGCTCCAATAGGGTTAGTGTACGAAAATTTTCAACTACACAATCTGACAGTTTCGAAATTGATTTTAATCGAAATAAATGTTAAAATAACGAGTGGTAGTAATTTTTTTTAATAGTTTGTTTTTGAATCCCAATAAGATATAAGTGAAAACGCCCTGTACATTGGCTGAACGTTAAATGATTTGACACATTTCAATTATCTGCTTTTTTAATTGAAACACGTCGGGGCCCCTCCTGTTATATCACTTCAGTTCTATTTATATCGTTCGACCAGGTTTCGATGATTAATGAAATGAAATTTTGATCAACCCGCTTGAGGGATTTAATGGCTTTTTATGTACGAATTCCACGAAGAGTAAACCTTTGGGTTTTATCATATGGTTGATATTATTCCGTCTAATTTTAATCCAACCCTCTTTAAAAATTTAATCGCATGAATAAATTACGCTTTGACACGCAGTACGCGTTGGTAAAGTTTTCAAGTTTTCGGTGAAATTCGATGTTAATTATAAGGGCGGGTCTGACATTTTAATACCAAAGTAGTTCACTTTGTCCCAAGTGCATTACTGAATTCATTGCATACATTATTAAGTCACTCTTATAAAAATGCAAAATATTTGTGTAGTTAGACAAATTTTACCATAGGTTCAAAAATAAAGTGAGAAACAATTACGGGTTTTTTTAAACAGTTGCTATTTATTCTATGCTTTGGAGACGGACTCGAAAGACCACAGTTTTTCTTTGTGTTTCAGATGATTAAAAATTTTTGAAAATGTGTGAACGACTTTAAAAAAATTAGTATATAAGATTTGTAAAAAAACCGTAAAAACCTTGTTTTTCCCAGTTCTTTTTTGGTATTGTTTTTAAGTGTATGTGTCTACCACCAATTTATTTTCTAGTTACTTAATCTAAAATCATATTAAAACAAGGAAAACATTTTGACACCTTTTGTAAAACGTGATATTTGCGGATAAAAAAATGCAAATTTTTCTATCTATTTTGAAAATTGAAAAAAAAGAGAAATTATAATTCGATTTACAATGGCTCTTAATCGGTGAGGACAGGCAGCATACAATGAAATTTGTGAAATTATGAGGAAGATCGTCCAAAAAATATAGTAATTAAGAACAAATCTCAGTAGTAAATATTTTTTTCACATTACATTGCCTGGTCGAATATATCACGTGGTACGATGATATTAAATTCGTAAAATTGGAGCAGAACAGCAGTACATTTACCTCATTCTTCGAAATCTTCAGCTTATTTTCACTCATCATACCATTAGTATACACAGCACATAATTACAAAATAATTTATACATATGCATATTGTTGAATACAGTTCCAAACTCTCCAAACTGAGTAAAATGTACCTAGTTGTACTTATTTTTATTTGCAGGGGTTCATTTAAAACTCTTGAACCCTTTGCGATTAGGGAATAATTTTTTTGCATTCGATAACTAAAGGTTCAAAGAGTTTTTTGGTCAAAATTTTCATTTGCAAGGGTTCATTCAAAACATTACAGCTCCTGAACCTTTTGCGATATATGAATATTTTTTGGCATTTGATAAACAAAGGTTCGAAAAGTTTTCTAGAATTTTCAAAATTCTCAACTGTCAAATTGCAAAGCTATAACAGCTATAACACTGTTTTTTGACCTTATTTTTTACGGCAATCGAAAGCACATCCATTTGTAGGACTTTTATCAACATGTTCTATACCCATCTCTTACAGTTTTTGAAATAATTACAAAAAAAGTGTTTTTGCTTTTTATTTTTATAGTTAATCACGTAGGCTTTGGAAAATGATCAATACATATTATAGATTTAGTCTACACAACACACATCCGAATTTACGAAGAATTGAGGCAAAGGATTGAGGCGGCATTTAATAATCTTCAACCAAATGAAATAATGAAAGCCACTCAAACAGTTCACCATCAAGTTTTCGACTGTTTGAAAATGGTAAACATATCGAACATCTGTATTAATTATGGCATTTTCAAAATTATACTAGCCTTGCATTTTGACAATTGACAATTTCGAAAATTCTAGAAAACTCTTCGAACCTTTGTTTTTCGAATGCAAAAAAAAATTATTCGCTTATCGCAAAGGGTTTAAGAGCTGTGATGTTTTGAATAAACCCCTGCAAATGAAAATTATGACTATAAAATTGACATATGTCAAAAACTATGACAGATAAGTACTAACAACAAGGTGCATTTTACTCAGTTTAAAGAGGAGAATTCAAAAATGCAAAAAATAAGTGGTTACCATTTAAAATTCCAAAGTTAGCGCCAATTTCTCGTAGTCCCGGAAGTTCAGATATTTTGAAAATAATTTAGGTTGTGTACAAAATTTTAAATTTCTATCTGCATTAGAAGTTAAAACGTTTCTGATGTAGGCTCTAAATGAATCACCTTGTATAATTTTAAACAATTTATGCATGTGTGTTTCTGCTTTTAAAGTATAAATCAGTACCAAAATCTAAGTAGGTCCACGATATTTTTTGAATTTTTAAACAAGTTTGAAAATTGCCTTCATTGAAATAAATATAATTTCGTGTCTCTTACAGGCAAGCTCAACGAGCTAGAACTGCATTTCTATTTAGAGATAGCTCCATTTCTATTTCCTGATTCATGCAACCATCTCCTTTTCAGAGATGACCGGTCCAACACAATGGCGGTGGTGTGCAAATACAGTGAAATAAATGATCTGTCTCGCCAGCAATCCAGCATTTTCACAATGAATTTAGTCTTGAATCGTCAATTGGTCCTTCACAATTCCCATTATTATCGGGTTGCAAACTTGAAATCAAACCAATTAAGTTCGTGAATTGATTCGTTAAAACTTGCTTCAGTTTCCTGTCATTGAAACTTGCCAAATCCTTAACAGGCGAAGTGAAAATAATCAACGAAAACGAAATTCGTGGTTAGTGTTTTTCCTGCTATTGTTGTCGAGGTTTCGTAATGAATGTTAATTCGCATCAGCGTGACAAACCGACTTGCTAAGCGCAAAACAAATTAAAGAAATAGATCTAATAAAGCTGCAACCTTGACCAGCGTTAGCACACTTGAGTTCTAAATCTATCGGTTGAATCAAAGTAATGTCTGTTATTTCACTAGCAAGTGCTTTGAAAAGTATTGAAGTATTCAGAAGGAAATGTGCCACTTTCCAGCTTAAGCTCGAAACGTAATAAAGCACTGGAGGATGAATAAAATATGAATAAATTTGTTGTTGCGTTTAACGCATGTATCACGATAACTGAAAAATCTAATATAAACCAAATAAAAGACGTGCAAACGTAAACATACGCCTGGATTTGAAATGTAAATTTCGTGCTGAAGCTCGTTTGGGACTATTGGAATAAATTTTACCTTGTCATTTTGTGTCGGCGAAAACAAAGTTATTTCATGATGTGGAAAATGACGTTCCGTTACGAGATCTTAAAGAAAAATGCCTCTTTTCATCCTACATCAATAAAGATGTTGACAACACTGAATAAAATTAATTAAATCCATTTAAAAAAGACACCCTTTATTATTATTTTTATCATGATTTGTCGTCTGTGTGCATATTGCACATCCACCAACTGAAGAAAAAAATTTAGGCAATTCCTATTTAAAAATCGTAACAAAAATGATCCGTTATAACTATGAGTTGCATGTAAGACATCTTACATCATTCATGCGAGTTTTTGTAAAAAACAAGAGATAAATTTGAACATTTCGGCGTTGCATAATACCCATGCCATAGCCATCACCTCACTGGCAACTGCTTTTTTCGAAGTGTAATAGGTCAAAAACATTTGATTTCTGTGTAAAGGAAGAAAATCTGTGTTACAACTGAGCCTTACTGACAAATTTTAAGCCACAAATCTCCACTTTTTTTCATGCAGAAAAAACATTGGGAAAAGTGACAGATGGCTGTGGCACGACTTATATTTACATTTACACACTGTGTCCCCGGATAAGTGCATTATGCCTTAGATAATAAAAAAAAATAGTTTTCTGTAAAGGGCCTTTTATGTGGCAAATATAACAAAAAGTTATTAAGAAAAGTTGTTTAGAATCAATATCTAGGCCCCTATACCAAATTGGAAGGCTGAACCTAAAAAA